TCTTCCTCTTCCTCTTCCTCTTCCTCTTCCTCTTCCTCTTCCTCTTCCTCTTCCTGTTCCTGTTCCTGTCTTCCTGTTCCTCTTCCTCTTCCTCTTCTTCTTCCTCTCCTTCTTCTTCTTCTTCTTCCTCTTCTTCTTCTTCTTCTTCTTCGTCTTCTTCTTCTTCTTCTTCTGCCCGTCCGCTGGGTTAGAAGCCCTCCCAATCGTCCACCCAGCTGTGACCCGCGACAAACCCGGACGTACCTGACTTGCTCGGAAGTTGGCCCGGCAGAACTGCGCAAACTCGTCGTCCTGCGTGGTCTCCAAACTGGGGGAAGATAGACACGCAGCAGGAGAGCAGGGGTGTGATAAGCAAACAGAGAATTTGTGAGAATCCCTGGATGCAGAAGCAAAATAGATACTGATAGACACTGGCACTGCCTGAGGACTGCATTCAGTGCCCCTCTCTGGACCAAGCCCCAGCCGGCTCCTCTTCCGGCTCAGCCTTGGACCTCAGAGCACTGAGAATCAGCCCAGCTGGGCACTGAGAGCCTGACTGACCCTATTTTGGACCAACCACCCAGATTGTGGCAAACTTCCTATCAAAACGGAAGTCAGAGCTCTGAGCTCCAGGCCTAGGTCCTCTAGTCATATACTGTATACGTAAAAAAGTAAAATATATATATATATATAGATAGATAGATAGATAGATATATAGATATAGACCAAGCCAGAGCGGCTCAAGATGACGTCATCCACTTGAAGCTGTTGATTGGTGCTCTTGCCATGGCGTGCGTGGTGTCCATACGTTTGTATGCTATCTTTTACATGAAGCCGCAGCTCTGCCTTCTTTGGAAACACCACCAGTTGAAGAAAGCAGGAGCTGAATCCACAGGACACCGTTCGAAATCCCAGCTGCTGCACCACCGATTGGTTGGATGTCGATCTGTTCTCAGTATGTTATCCCAGAGGCCTATTGTTGAGAGTATGTCTTTGTAGAACCCCAGCACTGGCTCAAATGCAAGCGGGTATTTGTGCAGCAGAACCGGCTTATGTAATCTAATCTCACGAATCTCATCTAATCTCATATTGTGCAAAGCCGACATTCCAAACACCGCACCAGCAGGCCATGTGCTGCGTCTTTTGAAATCAAGAACTGCGAAATGCTGCTAGTATCCATCGGCTCCGGAACATGCTGCAATGGCGCCCATCTTCTCTACAAACACAGATCCAGGCATTTCGGGACTGCCTTTGTGCTCTCGAACCAATGTTGCTGCCCCACCAGGTCCATGGAAAACCATGTGCGATCCATGCGTCAAGACCCGTAGCTTCTCACTGGACAAAAGCTCCAACCGCTGCAGCAGCCGCACTCCTCGGAGGACCCGGCGGAACTTCATTCGCTTCTGAGAGAGCACCTCGAGCATTGATTGGACCTCGTCCTTGGCAGAAGGACCTTTGCCGGGAGCCTCTAGCGCAGGAGCAGCCGTCTCCTGCTTCCGTTTCAGCCATCTTCTCGATGGACCTTCAACGCCCAAGCGGTTCCAATGGGATCGAATCTCTTCCGCGCGTCGTTCCTGTTCCTGTCGAAGCGTGGGGTCTAAAAGCCAGGCAAGTTCAGGACGTTGCTGCGCAACTTCAACAAGCAGCTCCTCCTCTGTGCAAACAGCCAAGACTGCAATGCCCTCCTCTTCTAGTCCGAGGTCATCCTTCCCATCTTGAAGACATTGCTGCAAGAAGCCTTCCAATGCCCAGTCCATCGCATCATTTGGAGGCTCCAGGGATATGGGCATGATTCCCTCCGAACCTTTACTTCCCCAGAGTTCTTGCACAGCATCAATTGATCGATCATTGGTCATTCTTACATGCTTCCGAGACGAAGCATATGCAACCTCTGTATGACGCAGGCCCAAGTTCCAGCGCCCCAAGAGAGCGCGCTGCCTGCGGTTCGCGAGACGCACTATCCACTTGCGTGAAGCTTCACTGTTTGGAAGCAAGCCTGCAGACGAGGCACCATTGTGCCCAGCAAGCCAGTACTCAGCCATCTCTTCATCTGTTTTTGAGATCAGAGAGCCAAGCTGCTGGCGCTGCCAATGGAATTCCTTTGCAAAGTCTAAGATGGTAAAGGACAGAAAGGCGGCACCTTGAACTTGGACGTCAGAGGGATCATACAAATCTTGCTCGACATGGAAGCATCTTTGTCGACAAAAACCAGGGATGCGGATTGGTGGCTCCAAGTCCCGCAGTTGCAAAGCACCAGACCAGTTTCGGACATCATTCAGTAAAGTGACCCGGGCTTGTCCAGAAGGTTCAAAATAGAAATATAACAAAAACTGTTCGTCATCTCGACGAAGATCTACCGGCAAACCTGATTCAATACAAATGGCCCGGCCAGCAGCTACATCTTCTTCGAAATAGATGCTGAATAAGAATGCTCCCATGGCTTGCAGAGCAAATACCCAGTCAGCAGCAAACCGGTATAGTGGGGAAAGCTCAGCCTCCTGATTTTGATGCAGCAAAAAGAACATAGCTAAATGGAGAAATGCAACCCTGTCGCGTTTCACGGCAAGTGCATCATTTCGAAGAATGCGATCCACAGATTCCCATGCTGCAGGTGCATCACACACAGGTCCATACTGACTAGCCAGTCCGCGAAACTGTCGATGTTTGTGTAGAGCATTGAACATGGTGCATATGACGGCTTTTTGATCATTGTCAAAGGTGTTTGTCACATGCTGGAGCCGCAAGGCTTGCCTTCGATAGCGCCAATCTTTCAATTCCAACTCGCTGTACTCGTGAAACACCTTCAGGGCCTCCATCCCCTTGCGCTTCTTCTGTGAAAGCGAGGAACGCACATCTCCTCGGACAACATTGCTTCCATCATCGAGGGTGGTGGTCAACAACTCGTCAGCCACAGCAGTGAAGGAACGAATCGCAGGAATATGTTCCTGGACCATGGCCTGCTGCAGACTATGTGTCACTTCTTTAGCTCTCTTCTTGTACATCTCCAAAATAGATCCTGCAGTTTCTGATCTATGTTGTGCATCTTCCTCCAGGGGGTCATCATCCTCGAAGGGATCATCACGAAGTCTGACAGTGTCCATCAAGTCTGTCGTCACCGAGTGAACAAGCACATTGCTATCTGGTGATGCTTTGTCTGATGGGCCTGCATCGTATCCGCCCTGTTCCAAGATGAAGGATAACTTTACCTGCTCCGGATAGATTTGAATAGCATGATGCGTCGGGTCGAATCCCCAATCTCCAAGGCTTCGCTGGTCATCATCAACATCCAAGGATTTCCGCTTGGGTGGCACCTTTCGGAGTACAATCTGCTGTCGCTTCACCTGCACATATTTGTCGGTACCTGGAATCTGCTCGAGATTGGCTTCGCCATTCTGAAACTCTACCGGTTCCTCCTCCAAGTCTAGAATCGCAAAACCGGCCAGGTCATACACTGCGAAATGTTGATCAAGAAGTTTGGCTAAGGATGCTCCAGTTTGCCGAGATACATCAGGCACAGGCAGCAGGTGCCTGTTCATCGGGGTATTGAAGGCTACCAGCACATGTCCGTTGTCGTCAAGAGCACCCACTCGCTCGAGATCCTGGAGTGGCAACGATGGACAAATTCCCAGGAAACTACACATGGAGACAATTCAAAGAAAGTCAATTCACAGCAAAATTGTCAAGAAATTCTGACCTCACGAAACCTTCGTAGCCCTACAGGACCATCGGTGACTCAGACCAAATGATTGAATCAGTCGGCCTTTGTACAGCCCTTGTCTTTCCTTCAATAGATGTCCTTGTTCACCCCAATGCTCTCGAAGTAGACTCTGCAATGTTTAATTCGTATCAAGCAGGTCATCCTTAAATATTAAAGTCAAGTTTAATCTATATTGCGCCCCAAAATTAGGGTTTGGGAGGCATATTGGTGGCCAGGATCCATACTTATAATATATATATATAAGATTTTGCTCCAAAAAATAAAACTCCAGACAACAACACTGCAGGCGACAATAAGCTCATAAAGAACAATGAACGCCGAATGAAGGAAAATCCCAAATATTCAAATTTCCAAAACCATAGGTGTTCAATTAAAACCCTTATGAAAAGCTTCATTTCAACAGTCTTGCAAAGAGTACCCCTTACAAGTGCTAAGGCTAAGGATCCACAATACAGGGGAGGTCCACAACTATAGACCCTCTCCCTATTGTGGCTCCTTGCTTAGCTTGCTTTGGAATGTTTTCCTTTACATGTCTGTTTAAACATTCTCTTGTGAATGACAGCAGAATGAAAGCAAATGAAAGCAAAATGAGAGAAGCAGAATGAAAGCAGGATGAAAGCAAATGAAAGCAGAATCAAAGCAAATCAAAGCAGAATCAAAGCAGAATGAAAGCAACACAAAAGCAAGTCGGAGGTGACTATTGCTGCGACTACCCCGAAAGCCTTCCAAAAATAGAAGAACAGAAATTGGAGATATACCCCCCCGCTTCTATAACGAATCTAACTATCACTCTGTGAGTTGCTGGGGCATGACGACGGCAAACGATGACAATGAGGACGGGCTTTTGCCAAACACAGGGACAATCTTCTGCCGACTCTCGGTGTGATATGTTGAAACTAAACTGTTCCTTCGATCAGAAAGCATGATTGCTGGCATCTCAACTGGCTCCTTTTGCTTCAGTGGATGAAGGCGTCGCTTGGGAGGGTCTATGGTCGCTCGTGGCTTCTGCCACTTCTTTACCCAGACAGGCTGCTTTGGTGCCATCGCTGGATGTTGCGGCCAACAACAGTAAGAATCCTCAAGCCTCTCAAGAGCTTTGGTTGCATTGCAGATTTTAGATTGCAGTATACGAGGGTCCTTCAATGGTTTGAGGAATTGCTGTGATGGGATGAGATGGGAGCGCCCTCTCGGTGACTTGGTGGTGAGTTGTTCTTCGTCGCGAGGGAAAAGGATGTGGTTCGTTTCAGTTTAGAGCTACAGCAAATCGCTCATCTTCTTGCAGTCGCGCAAGATTGATCAAAAACGAATCTTGAGGCGCGCAGCGCATCATCCCAGTCTCTGCCTGGTTGGCTTGTTCCGAAGAAAACCGTCATCAATCCCCCTTGGACCTTTCCCACAGAGACCCTTTTTGTGGAGCTCTCCCATCCAGAAAGCTACTAAGTCAGCCCTCCAAAGTCACTCTGCCACTACACTTCGAGGGCATGGGGATGAAACATGGAGCAATCTCTCCAAGAAGGACACGAAACAACAGGACCTCTCAATCCCCTCAATGATCCCCGGTCTACTACTCAATATGGGGTTGGATCCCTGCGGAAATGGCTTTAAAAACATGTGGAAAAATAGAAAAGGGGGTACCCAAGACAGGTTGACTCCAGCAGGAATGAATTCAGCCAGCAAAAAGGACCCCACTCCAAACAAGCCTCGCTCCAGGCCTGGATAAAAATAGGGGGACCCAAGATTAATTTTGGATAAAAATAAAGAGCAAACAGAGATAAAATGAGAGGTCCCCAACTGCAGGACAGCGCCAGCACACTCCTCAGGTTGTTTTCCACTGGCGCATGCTGGCTTGTGCTGGTTTGACTACGGACTACGTACTCATAGTCCAGCAAACCCTTCGTGCCAGACGAGCTGGTGTCTATTTGGACATGTGGCCTAAACAACATCCACACAACAAACCACCACCACCAAAACAACAGTCACCGCTGCGATTCTCGGCTCGACGACGGAGCCTGGCCCTGGATCCTACGGCGCTGCACACACTCGGCCAGCTGCTTTTCCAAGGCGTCGAATGACGTCATGTGCCCACCCTTCTAGTGCACTGGAGGTTAAATGGCAACAGGATCATGGCATGAAGTGGCATGACTGAACATGAAAATCTCACTGGTATTGTTTTCTTTTGCCTTTGACCTCCATGCTGTGGTGTCTTCGTCACCGGGGTCTCGGGCTTCTATCAAGCTGACCCGTGGATCTTCCATCCAGGTCCTCAGCTGGTCTCTCAGCTGTCTGTTGCGCTTTGTTAGCGCGTCTGCTAGCATGGCTTCCGTAGGGACCCATCGCAAGCTGCGGCATGTCTGTCGCAAAGCTGCCACATCTATCTCCACTCGCTTTTCGGAGAAGGAGGTTGCCAGTCTGTGGATCGCATCGTAGAGCGATCTTGCATCTGTCACCGGCCAAATGGCGAAAGGTGACTTCGCCGAGTGGGAGGCGATGTAGGTGCCGTTGGCCATTTCGCCTAGCATGCAGCCCACGAAGTTGGCGTAGTCCTCGGACTTGTCCAAAGAAGCAGCCTCTGCGGCCAAGGTTGACCGGAGGACTCTCTGGTGCCGGTAGGATTTCCAGTCCAGCAAACTGGCATCAGTCTGCTTGGTCAGGGCCTCAGGTGTGCTTGCTAGCACGATGTAGCCTCCCTGACTCTTTCCTCCAGGGGCGTTGGCGAACGCTGAATCGCCGAAGGCGATGAGCACCAGCTGCTCCATGTCGATCGGCTTGATCGTTACCGCCGTATTCGCCGTCGCCTTGACGTACTTGAGCACGGAGTTGGCTTCAGCAAGATCACCATACGTCAGGTCGCTGTGACCTTTTTGCAGCAGGGAAGTGTCCGCCGCGATGTCGGGTCTGGTAGTTCCTGACATCCATTGCAAAGATCCGGTGGCGGATCTGAACTCCGAGATCGCATCTCGGTCTGAGCCCATCTTGGCTTCGTGGTCTTGCTTCACCTTGGTGATGATCACATCAGTGGCGTAGTGGCTCTGGCTCAAGGTGATGTTGCCGTTGTCATGGCGAACTATTCGCCGTCCAACAAAAACAAAATCATTGACCTCCCAGGGACTGCCCCAACTGAAAGACTTCTCAACTTCGTTGAGGATGCCCTCTTGGAGCGAAGCGGCCAAGATGTCATCCACATGGATGCCAAGGACAGCTTTGACCTCTCCGTTGACCTTCTTCAGGAAGATGCAAGGGTCAAGGGAGTGTTGCACCCACTTCAACTTGTTGACCATGACATCAAGCACGTGCAAAAACCATTGCCGCGGTGCATTTGCCTGGCCATAAACTGGAGCGTGGAGCACGTACAAAGCGTCAGGCTCTTGAGCCCATTCAGGCACTGCTTCTCGAGAGACTCCATCTTGGGGCACACGCATATAGATCTTCTCTGGCCTCTCGTGGTCGGGCTTGCCCTGCAGGAAGGCTGACTTGCAATCTCCATTCACGATGTCCACCTGGTGTGAGCATGCCCACTGAAGGATGCACATGAGCCCAATGCGGGACAGGACAGGAGCATCTCGTGAGAGAAGTGGAAGGTGAGGATCACGAAATCCTTGGATCACAATGCGGGCTTTTGCTTTGAAAGATGCACCTCCATCAATCGGCTTCCACCGAAAACATACTCGAGCAGGCAGGATGAGGTGCTTGGCGATGCTCTTGGTGTCGCCAGTGAACTTCTCACATGAAGCCCATTTCTTCCATTCGCTCCATTCTTTGCGCATGGACTCCACAAAGGCTTCCCAGTCTGCGGCGCCAATGGAGCGCCAAGGGAGCTCGCGCTTGAGGGCTTGTCGCTGCGTCCTCTTGAGACCAGCATCTTCTTCATCAAAGGTCTCAGGAAACACTTGGTGGCCTCCAGTGGTGGACATGTACACCTCGAAGGTCGTGATGTGGTTGTTGTTGTCATTCTTGGTGTTGGCCAAGTGTTCATGCCATTCTGCCACGTTGCAAGCTAGAGCAAAATGCTGCTTGCCGTCAAAAAGGGACTGGTGTTCTTTGGGAGAGCCGTCCCAACCAGTCTTGAAAGCATCTTCGCGGCCATGCCGAAGAAGCCAAACTGCTTCAGGGTTGTAGTGCTGGTATTGCTTTCTTTGTCGTCGAAGCCCTCTTGGGCTAAGTCGGCGACGACCTGGCTTGCTGGTGTGGTAGAGGACAACCTTCTTGGTGAAGTTCTGGTCCTCAATCTCGTCGTTGACGTAGCCAGCCAAAGTCAGCCATGTCCAGGTCTTCTTCTGAGGTTCCCAAGCAGCTATGCTCTTCAAAGTTGTGCTGGTAGTGCTGTTTGGAATGTCATCGCCAGAAATGCGATGGACCTCATCAGTCTTCCATGCTTCAACTTGC